TCCCTCATCCAGATCCCAATCCCTCCCTCATCCAGATCCCAATCCCTCCGTCCCTCATCCAGATCCCAATCCCTCCCTCATCCAGATCCCAATCCCTCCCTCCCTCATCCAGATCCCAATCCCTCCCTCATCCAGATCCCAATCCCTCCGTCATTCAGAACCCAATCCCTCCCTCATCCAGATCCCAATCCCTCCGTCCCTCATCCAGATCCCAATCTCTCCCTCATCCAGATCCCAATCCCTCCCTCATCCAGATCCCAATCCTTCTGCCTTCCATTCCTCCTCAGTTGTCCCTTTTTAGGTCTGGTGTAGAGATCTCTATACATAAATGGATTATTTATAAATGTAAATGTATTAACGTCTCATGATATGTGTGCGATCAGAGGTGTCCATGGACTAAATCTTCTGTGCACAAGGACAGAGAGCAGCAGTGGCCGGTCTTTATTACAGGAGGGGGCAGAGACAAGACCAGTCACCCTGCACAAGGAGGGAGCAGCAGTGACCAGTCTCTATTACAGGAGGGGGCGGAGACAAGACCAGTCACCCTGCACAAGGAGGGAGCAGCAGTGACCAGTCTCTATTACAGGAGGGGGCGGAGACAAGACCAGTCACCCTGCACAAGGAGGGAGCAGCAGTGACCAGTCTCTATTACAGGAGGGGGCAGAGACAAGACCAGTCACCCTGCACAAGGAGGGAGCAGCAGTGACCAGTCTCTATTACAGGAGGGGGCGGAGACAAGACCAGTCACCCTGCACAAGGAGGGAGAGCAGCAGTGACCGGTCTTTATTACAGGAGGGGGCGGAGGTTTACAGGGAGGCGTGCTGAGGTTGGCCGGTCCTGGAATAAAGAAACAATGTAAGGAGGATTTAGATACAAAGTCACATATCGGGATCGCTGACTGATCTGTCCATCAATGAGCTCTGGTTAGGAAAGGGTTACACGTTGTCTGTAGGGACTTAGGGTGACCGCTGTAAAGGAAAATGTAAAAGATCCGATGTGAACACATGAGAAGGAAAATGTTGGGTGGGGGCCCCCGCTGGGTGGGGGCCCCGGGGCCAGTTCTAACCGGCGTGTGCAAAGAGAAAGTGAAACTGGTTTGTACGGACGCAACGGTGCCAAGAGGAACAGCAACAGACGAGCTGCGGAAACCTCCGACTACAACAGGTGATTCCCCTGATCATTCCCTGCAGAGTATCTCGTATTTCCCTACTTTTTCCCCAGAGCCTCTCTCCCCTCCATGCAGAGCATCTCTCCCCTCCATGCAGAGCCTCTCTCCCCTCCAGGCAGAGCCTCTCTCCCCTCCGTGCAGAGCCTCTCTCCCCTCCGTGCAGAGCCTCTCTCCCCTCCCTGCAGAGCCTCTCTCCCCTCCCTGCAGAGCCTCTCTCCACTACATGCAGAGCCTCTCTCTCCTCCATGCAGAGCCTCTCTCCCCTCCATGCAGAGCATCTCTCCCCTCCATGCAGAGCCTCTCTCCCCTCCATGCAGAGCCTCTCTCCTTCTTTTGCAGATTATCTCCCCCCGACCCCCTTGTTACACATGAGCAGTATCATTTCCTCTCTCTAGATTCTGTATTGTGGGTTGTGGTTTCCTGAGCGCATCCTCTACAATAAATACAACAATGGTTATGGGTCTGTTT